ATTTTCTTTAAAATGCTTGCTTGGGTGTGTTTGTTTTACGTTGTTGCTTTTTTCTGCCGTGCGCTTTGCAACAAATAGCAAAACACAGTGTGTTTTGATAGGTTTCTATACACAGTGATAGTTTCGCCTCGGTGAAACGTTCAGTTTTGATAATGTGCGGGCTGCGAAAACCAGCCCGCACAGCGTTCCCCTCTCAATAAAAGGATTCCCCATCTTCTCACAATTTTTTAAAGGTTTAGTCCTCCCGCCCAATTCCCATATTTTCAAATTTTTCTGGGGAGTCCTCCTTGATTGAAGGGGCCCTGGGACACACTAATAAACATACACACAAGTAAAAGCATTCCCCATATTTTCCAATGTTTTCTATGGTTTAGTCCTCCCGCCCAATTCCCATATTTTCTTGGGAGTCGACGATGAATTGTGTCTGTGTGTTTTTTTCCTCCTGATAGATGGGGTCCGAGTAGATGGGGTCGGAGGATTGCGTCGCATCACCGCTGCATCGGCGATGCATCGGCGATGTATCGGCGATGCATCGGCGATGCACTGGCGACGTCGGCGATGCATCGGCGACGTCTGTGTGGAGAAACACGGGCTCCACATCGAGCCGCATCATCGATGCATAGGCGATGCGGCGCGATCTTGGAGGCCTAGAGAAAAGCAATCGTTGTTCGTCCTCGTGGCCATCTCGGGGGCCCTGTGGGAGCCTTGTGGAACATGCCCGGGGCCTTCTCGGGCCGTCTGCGGGCCCTCTTGCGTTGCAGAGGGGCGCCCCAGGGGCCTTATAACATGTACTTTTTCGCTGTCGGAGGCGCCTGTCTGGAGGCGGCTGGAAAGTGTATACCCTTGCGGTGGCACGTCAAGGTGTAAACTTTCCAGCCGCCCTGGGGCAGCGCCCCCTGTGACGGAACAGTTTATGTTGTACCGTTCTTCGCCCGCTGGGCGTAGAGATGCGCGCCGAAGGCCACGTCCTCTGGGAGGAGAAAAGCGTCGAGAGAAGGTCCCGTGCAGGTGGTTTTCGCAATGCGACGGCACGAGCGCCTGCGGCCCCGAGGCAGGACAGGCTCTTCAGAGGGTCGTGAAACGCCTCACGGCTGGACAAACAAGCCACCATCGTGGAAGCTCCCCGCCCTCGGGCGCCAGGGGGGCATCGACACCGGGAGAAGAAGCACGACTTTGGAGGCTTTTTGCTTTCCAAGCCTTCTGCGGCCCGGAACGCAAGGGTCGAGGTGGTGCGAGTGAGCCGCGTCTGGGCGCGGCGGCGAAGGAGGCCCCCGGAATCCATGACGTCGGCGACGACGGGACTCCAGACGACGTCGGCGACCACGGGACCCCTGACGACGACGACGACGACGACGGCGACGACGACGACAACGTCGACGACAAAGACGACGACGACGACGACGACGACGACGACGACGCGGCGGCGGCGGCAGCGGCGGCGATGCGGCGGCGGCGGCGGCGGCGGCGCGGCGGCGGCCGCAGAAGCGAGGGCGGCGGCGGTGGTGCCGGCGGTGGCGGCGACGAGGCGCCTTAAGGCGCCCGTGCTGTCGAAGCGTTCCTGGAGTGCGGCCCCGGCGGGGTCGGCGCCCCCGACAAGCGCGGAGCATGCTGCAAGCTCGCGATCCCGAAAGGGACCCGCTCGGACGTCCATTCCCTGTGTTTTTTTCTGTTTCGTGAGTGGTTTTTTCGCCAAATGATCAAGGATGCTCCTCGATGGCCCTCGCCGAAGGAAAAATGCACACGTCCGAGCGATGCCAAGGCACGGCGTCCCCGACAAGCGCGGAGCATGCTGCAAGCTCGCGATCCCGACTAGGGATGGCGCGGGACTGCCGAGGAGACGAGGAGCTCTGTGGGGCCCTCTTGGGGCTGCCTCGGGGGGCACTCGTGGCGCTCTGGGGTCAGGCTGGGCCTCTCCTGGGCTGCCGTGGAGACTTCCGGGGCCGTCTGGAAGCCCTCTTCGACGCGTCTCGGTCCGTCGGGGACGTCCCGAACATGCTCGTAGTGCCTTTTGGGCCAGCTCTGGGCCCGAAGCCGCATGCATTCGAGAACCCTGTTGCTCGAGAACCGCGGCGAAATCTATCATTTGCGCGTTCTGGGAACCTCCTGAGCCGTGTTCGGGGCCCTCTTGTCAAATACTCTCTCTCTCTCTCTCTCTATATATATATATATAGATATACAGAACGAGAGAGAGAGAGAGGGCAGAGAGGGAGAAAGAGAGAGAGAGAGAAGGAAAGAGAGACAAAGAGAGTAATAACAACACCCAAAAAGCCAAGACAACTTTTTGGGGCCAAGTTGGGGTTCCGTGCGTGTCTCACATGGGCGCCCTCTTGAAAGTCGCAGAACTATGGAACACGCCTGCGGCGAATCACCGACGCCCCCTGCTTTTGAAATCGCCCACGTGGCCGACCGTCGCGGCAAGAGCTCTGCCGAGCTATCGGATCATGTTTTCCCCCAGCAGTTGTGAAAACCCTTTGGGGGGGGGGACTTGGGGGAGGATGGGGCATGGGACATGTGACATGGACTAGGGCGGACCGAGGTCCGCTTGCCGTCGCGGCGGCGCGCGCGGGAGGGAGTGGCGACGAGGAGCCCGAGGGTCCCACCAGACAGGTGCTCCCCAGCCAACTGCCCTCCCGGGAGGGGAAGGCCGTGGCCAAGGTCCCCACCACCCCCGCGGGGACAGAGACCAACGAGCAACCGAACGCCAGGGCCGTGTTGGGGCCTCTTGGGCTGTCTTCTGGCGATCTCGGGTGCCTCTTGAGCAATCGTGGCGAGAAGGCCACAAGCCTTCAGGAACCTAGGGACAACCAACGTTTGCCTCTCTTGGGAGGCCCCTTGGAAGCCTCTGGGTGTGTTTTGGGGGCATCGTGCCTGTCTTAGGTCGGGCCTGTCCCCCTACAGGCGGACCTTGGGCGAAAAATTAGAAATACTCGGAACATGCAACTAGATAGCTAAGAAATGCTCAACAAATCGTCCCCAGACTTTTTTTGCTATTTTTGAATGTTCCTTCTGTAGAAGGACAGGCCCGACTTAAGGGCAATCTTGAGCCGCCTCGTGGCCATCTCGAGCGTCGCGAAGCTGTCTTGGGGCCGTCGGATGCCGTCTGAGGTCCCTCTCGTGGCCGTCGCGGAGCGTCCCGGAGGCTCTGAATGAAGGGGCCCAGAGACACGCACACACATAAATACACACAGATCCCAGGATCCCCCATGTGTTCCCACATCTTCTAAGTTTTTGTCTTCCCCCCACTTCCCATATTTGCCCATCTTGTCGAGGGAATCAACACGATCAATTGTGTCTGTGTGTCGACCCCAAAACTTATTTCTCTGTCGATTCATTCAACACGTGCTTCTCGTAGACCTGACGGAACAATCAAGTTCGGGGTGCAGTGAGGGCGCGGCCGCAAGAAACCCTCGCAAGAAACACAGCCCTGAAAACCCGCGCGCGAGGTGCGCCTGAGGGGAATCGGGGAGCGCCCTGAACGCAGCAGCTTCTTCAACGGCTGCGGGAAGTCACCGCGCAGCGGGCGGAGCGAAGAAGCCCGGGATACCCTGACGAACAGCGCATGGTCTCTTGATGCGCGCCCCCACCGTAAGCCAATTCTGTGGTCGATCCCCTGGGTCGACTTGTGGCCCTCGCGGAGCGTCCCCGGAGGCTCCGAGGAGCGCACGGGGAGGCCCGGGCGAGCCAAGCGAGACAAAGGCTCATGTTGCTCCCACCGTGCCCAGAGATCCAGAGCATTGAACCAATCAAGACGGAAATTCTTCTCCGTCTTCGGCCTCTAAGGGGCCCTCGCCGGGCCCCGGGACCGTCAGAAAACGACCCAGGATGAAAAACCAGTCCTGGGGAATGGGTCGAGACCTCGGGGGACCGCGCATTGAAAAAATCACGACATCGGATCTCTGGGTACTTAAGGGCCACGTCCCAGAAATCCGCGGGCCCCCTTGCGGGGCCACCAGACTGTAGGCCGGGAATGTGCTGCTCCCTGTACCAGTTGCAGCTTCCAGTTTCCGCTGCTACAGTTCTGCTTCTTGCTGCTTACTGTTCCTTGTTGATGAACGCGCGAGGGGGGGGGAGCCCAAACCAGCAGAACTACCACGCCCTGGGAGGGTTCTCAAAATTTCTGAGGGGGGTAGAAATTGACACCCCTCACGCAAATCTGCAGGGCCAGGGTCCAAAAACACAAGGGATCTGCCATGTTTTAAATTCGGTATCACCCCTCACGCAGATCGGCGGGGTCAGGGTCCAAAAAAACACAAGGGGATATGCCAGATGTTTGAAATTCGGTGGCACCCCTCACGCAAATCGGCGGGGTCAGGGTCCAAAACCATAAAAGATGTGTTACCTTTCTGGAATTCGGTGGCGCCCCTCGCGCAAATCGGCGGGGTCAGGGTTCAAAAACACAAGAGATTTGCAACATTTCTGAAATTCGGTGACACCCCTCACGCAGATCGGCGGGGTCAGGGTCCAAAAACATGAAAGATTTGCAACACTCCTGAAATTTGGTGGCACCCCTCACGCAGATCGGCGGGGTCAGGGTCCAAAAACATAAAAGATGCGTCACATTTCTGGAATTCGGTGGCGCCCCTCACGCAAATCGGCGGGGTCAGGGTGCAAAAACACATAAGATTTGCAACATTCCTGAAATTCGGTGGCACCCCTCACGCAGATCGGCGGGGTCAGGGTCGAAAAATAAACAGGTCCCGACACTGCTTCACGGCGGCGCCCAGACCTTCTGATTTAGCTGTTGCATCTCCCATTATCCGAGACAGGGGGCCGGCGGCATGGGGCGAAGGCCTTACGGATAATTTCGAGCGTCCAGAAAAATGTCGAAACAGTGTCGAGCGAGTGTCGCCTCCAGGGCTTGACACGCGAAAACCATCCGAATTTCGGTCTTTCCCTGGTGCTCGAAATTCTCTCTCGTGAGCAAGGCTAAAGTAGGCTGGGGCATCATAAACAGAGGCCCCTTTCGCGCGCACAGCTGCCTGCAGTGTGGGAGAGGTGACGTTGGGCTCCAGCCACACCTCCCGCATCTCGCGGAGCAGCGCCAGGGCTCGCTGCCACTGCTCGCCCTTCTCGCACGCGCTGATGCCAGCGCTGTAAGCGACTACAGTCAGCCCGGATAGTAAGGATGCGCGATAAGGGTGCAAGGGCCTTGGAGGCCCAGTTCGAAGCTTTTCGAGCAAGGCGCGGCCAACGAAAGTGGCCAAGGCTTGACCGAGGAGGCAAGGATGCAAGGGTACCCTTGGGAACGCAGCCCATCCTTACTATGCGGGTTGACTGTAGGGCCGACTCGTGGACTCCGCCCGTGTCAACCAGCGATTGATTGTCCCTGTCTCTTTCCTTCGGCTGCCTGCTGCTTGTGCTGCTCACGGAGAGTTTGCCTGCTTCTGTGTGCGTTGCTGCTTCCTTGCTTGTCCCCCATATCCTAAGATGGGGGTCTTGTTATTACTTGGACGCCTCCTACTCCTCCTCCTCCTCATCCTCCTCCTCATACCTAGACTTACTCATACAAGCACACTTACTCGTATTCAAACCTGACCATATCAACTTACTCATACTCAGACCTACTCATACCCAGACCTATCCATACTCAGACTTACTCATGCTGAAACTCACTCATACCCAGACTTACTCATACCCGGACCTTCCCATTGTCTGACTTACTCAACACACAGCAGATTGTGAGGATGTCTGAGGCGGGGCGCTGGTTTCAGCACCCCTAAGGGGAGCCGCCGAGGAGTACTGCACGGTTCCATTCGCGGCCGTTTTGTGGGGATGTCTCAAGCTGTTTGCCTGCTTTCTGTCCCAACATCCTTCGCTTTCGGAGCAGGTTTGGAGGATGTCTCGAGCGAGGCGATCAGTTTCACCCCCCTAAGGGTTGCCGCCGAGGGGTATTGCACGGTCCCGTTCGCGGCCGTGTTGTGGGGATGTCTGAAGCGGCTTGCCTGCTTTCTGTCCCAACATCCTTCGCTCTCGGAGCAGATTCGGAGGATGTCTCGAGCGAGGCGCTCATTTTCACCCCCATAAGGGGAGCCGCCGAGGAAAATTGCACGGTCCCGTTCGCGGCCGTGTTGTGGGAATGTCTCAAGCGGTTTGCCTGCTTTCTGTCCCGGCATCCTTCGCTTTCTGAGCAGATTTGGAGGATGTCTCGAGCGAGGCGCTCAGTTTCACCCAGATTTCGAGGATGTCTCAATCGGTTTGCCTGTTTTGGTGGCCAGACTCGTGGGCACAGATTCTCCTCAGGATGCCACAGGAGGCACCAACATGCTCCAGCCCCAGGAAGCTCCAGGAGGCCTCAGGAAGCCACAGGAGGCCCCAGGAGGCCCCAGGAAGCGCCAGGAGGCCTCGGAAGACAACAGGAGGCCCCGAGAGGCCCCAGGAGCAGGAGACCTCAGAAGGCAACAGGAGTGGCTCCAATCCCATGTGTTTTACGTCTGCTTCTATAGATTGGGACTCACCTGGAGCACGAATCATTGATGTTACACGTATGTTTCTATAGATTGTCCTTCTCCTGTGTACACAGTCCTAAATGTTTTACGTATGTTCCTATATGTTGGGCCTCTCCTGGGGCACGAGTCCTCTGTGTTTTGCGTGTGTTCCTATAGATTGCCATTCTCCTGTGACTCCTATCCGCAAAGCTTTATTTACGTCTGTTTTTATTGATTGGGCCTCTCCTGAGGCACGAATCCTCCCTAGGAGGTCCCAGGAGGCCCCAGGAGGCCCCAAGAGGCTCATGGAGGCCCAAGGAAGTCACAGTAGGTTTCAGGAGGCCCCAGGAGGCCCCAGGCTCATGCGCAAAGACACGGTCGTACTACTGAGGCTCATTCACACTCCAATTCATTCGCAATTAGATTCATGACCAGACCGTCACAACTAAAGCCCGTTTATATTCGAAAGCCCTTGCACCTAGACATTCACGGCGGACAGGTCCATACGAATAGATGCACATATAGGGTGCTCCACGCAGTGAATAATTGTTTGTTTGCGTGTATCTTGCTGTTTTGTTTGCTTGCTGGTTGCTGCATGCTTGCTTGCTTGTCGCTTGCTGCTGCCTGCGGCCGAAGTATGCTGGGATGCTGCTGGGCGGAATCGGGGCCGTATCGTGCCTTCCTCTGAGCTTTTCGCCGAACGATAACTTAAGCATCCCGACCCAACAGCAAGAAACACAAAATTATCACCCTCCCCCTCCCTCCTCTTCCTCCTCTTCCTCCTCCTCCTCCTCCTGCTGACGGCGGGGAGTTTGATCCTTTTGCCGAAAGGGGGGCGTCTGAATGACCTACCGAGGTTAGTGGGGGCGTCCTGGGCAGCCCGAGAATGGTCTTGAGCCGCCTTCAGACCGTATTGGGGCTAAGGCTGGGAACTGAGTAGCATCAACATGTGGGCCTTATTGTGCAAACGTGTTGCATGGTGGCTGTGGCCGCCGGAGGAGGTCGGAGGATGCGCTCGGGTGCGGAGGCTCAGAGGAGGTTCGACTGGAAGGCGGGGCATGCCCAAATGGCCAGCCTGTCTGGAGCACGCTCAGGAAAAACTCCCCGACGAGTCGCCCATTCCGAACGGAGCGCATGAAAAGAAGAGACAAAAAAGAGGCCAGAACTCTCTGAGGGATCTTCCATCGGAAGCCTGCTGGAGGCGGTTTGGGGGGTGACTTGGGACGTCTGGGGGCATCCTGGGGCTTGTGGGGGGCTTCTTGGGGGCCTGCTGGCGGTTTCTGGGATCATTTTGGAGCGGAGGGCGCGAGTTTCCCTTCTTAGGTTACGTTGTTCCCGTCGTACTTAATGACCACATCCCAGAATCACTTTCGAGGTGTCGCCTCCCATCTGGCGAAGTGCCGAACGAATATCGCCTCCCAGGGCCCGACACGTAAAAACCATGCCGTTTCGATACTGTCCTGGTGCTCGCAATTCTTCCTGGTGGTCGAGGCAAAATTAAGCTGGAACGTCATAATCTTGAGGCCCTCTAAAACCGTTTTGGGCCGACTTCAGGGCCATGCGGGCTGTCTTAGGGGCCCCGTTGGGCCGTCCAGGGGCCATCTTTGGAGCCTCCTTGGCCGTGCTGGGGCGATGTTGGGGGCCTCTTCGGCCGTCCTGCAGCGCCAGAAGGCTACATCAAGCAATCATGCCCCAATCCTCCAGCAACCTTCTGGTCATCCACTATCTGGGCATCTCGGGGCCAGTCTTGTGGCCCTGGGAGCCCTCATTGGGCCGTCGTGCCGCCCTGCCAGGCCGTCTGAGGCTGTTATTGGCGACCTCTCGTCAGGTTGGGTCGCTTTGGGGCTTCCCCGTGGGGGGGGGGCCTGGAACTCGCCGGGGCCCACCAGGGTTATGTCGGGCGTGTCCCCCTACAGCGGTTTCGACGAACCAACAAAAAAGATACCCCAAAAATGCACCAAAAAGGTCAAACATACTAAACCAATAGTCCCCAGACTATTTTTGTAATATTTTTGGATTATTTGTGGTGCATGTTTTACTATTCGTCGAAAATCCCCCTGTAGGGGGACAGGCCCGACATAACACCAGGGCTGATGTTGCCTCTCTTGATTCTTGATTCGTTCTCGTTGTGGCGCCCTTCTCCTCCAGCACTGTGATGCGGTGAGGGGAATTGGGAAGCTGGCGGAGCACCAATGGAAGCTTGGCCATGGATATCACCGCCGCCCCGATTAGATACGGAATCCTCTGGGGTCTGAGGCCTCCTGGGCACATCCCTTCACGAACGCCGCCACCGTATAGCTAACGTCGGGGTCCACCTTCGCCCCCCGCATCTCAGTGAGCAGCGACAAGACACGCTGCCACTGCTCGCCCTTCTTGCACGCGCTGATGCCAGCGCTGTAGCTGACTAGGGCAGACCTGTGGACTCCGTCCACGACATCAGCTCGACGTGGCGAGGGGTCTCTGGGCAAGCGCGGGGGGGTGCGGCTGCAGGGCCGAAAGGCAATCATGATGGCGTCGGGCTCCTCCTCCTCCTCCTCCTCCTCCTCCTCCTTTTCCACCTTCTTCTCCTCTTTCGCTGGATTCTCCATGCCCTCGGTCGGCAATCGTCGATCCTACGACGACTCTCCCCAACAGAGAAACATCGAAGGCCCTCGGAGCGTCCAACATTGTTCTTTTGTGCCTTCGATATGCCGGTCGCCTCTCGTCCGCTCCCCCGCTCCTGGAAGGAATTCTGAAGGCACTGAAGGCTTCGTAGGGGCCGTTTCGGAGCCTCTTCGGCCTTCGTTTGGGCCTCGCGGGGGGGCTCTTAGGGCTCTCTCGGGCCGTCTTGGGTGCCTCTTGGGCCGTCTTCGGGCCATCTGAGGCCCTCCTTGGCGCCTCTTCGGCTGTCGTGGGCCGTCTTGGGCCGCTCCTGGGGCCGTCTTGGGTGCCTCTTGGGCCGTCTTGGGCGCCTCCTGGGCCGTCCGGACGCCGTCCTGCGGCGTCTTGGGACCGTCTTGGGGCCCTCCTGGCCCGTCTTGGGGCTCTCTTGGGGTCCTCTTCGGCCGTCTTGGAGCGGTCGGGGGGGCGTCTTGGGCCGTCTTGGAGCGTCGGGAAGCCGACGAGGCGAGGAGGCCAAAAACATTGAAAAACACAATAGAAATCGACGATTTCTGTCGCTCGGGGCCCTCTTGGGAGGCCTCTTCGGGCGTCTTGGACGCCTCGAGGGCCTCCTGGGGCGAATCTCGGACGTCTTGGGCGCTCTTGGGCTGTCTTGGGCCGTCTTGGGCCGCTCCTGGGGCCGTCTTGGGTGCCTCTTGGGCCGTCTTGGGCGCCTCCTGGGCCGTCCTGGGGCCGTCCTGCGGCGTCTTGGGACCGTCTGGGGGCCCTCCTGGCCCGTCTTGGGGCTCTCTTGGTATCCTCTTCGGCCGTCTTGGAGCGGTCGGGGGGGCGTCTTGGGCCGTCTTGGAGCGTCGGAAAGCCGACGAGGCGAGGAGGCCAAAAACATTGAAAAACACAATAGAAATCGACGATTTCTGTCGCTCGGGGCCCTCTTGGGAGGCCTCTTGGGAGGCCTCTTCGGGCGTCTTGGACGCCTCGAGGGCCTCCTGGGGCGAATCTCGGGCGTCTTGGGCGCTCTTGGGCTGTCTTGGGCCGTCTTGGGCCGCTCCTGGGGCCGTCTTGGGTGCCTCTTGGGCCGTCTTGGGCGCCTCCTGGGCCGTCCTGGGGCCGTCCTGCGGCGTCTTGGGACCGTCTGGGGGCCCTCCTGGCCCGTCTTGGGGCTCTCTTGGGGTCCTCTTCGGCCGTCTTGGAGCGGTCGGGGGGACTTCTTGGGCCGTCTTGGAGCGTCGGAAAGCCGAAGAGGCGAGGAGGCCGAAAACACCGAAAAACACAGTAGAAATCGACGATTTCTGTCGCTCGGGGCCCTCTTGGGAGGCCTCTTGGGAGGCCTCTTCGGGCGTCTTGGACGCCTCTTGGGCCGCCTGGGGCGAATCTCGGGCGTCTTGGGCCCATCTTTAAGCGTGCCGGGGCTCTCCGGGGCCGTCTTGGGGGCTTCTGGGGGCCCTCCCGACATGTCCTGGAGCCTGCCTGGGCGGCCCGGGGCGGCCTGGAGCCAGCCCGGGGCGGTTTTGGTGCATTGGAGCCTGCGCCCTTCTGGCACGCACTGGGCCCTGCAATGTAGTAGAGACTAGGGCAGACCTGTGGACTCCGTCCGCTCCCCCCCTCCTGGAGGCAATTCTGAAGTCACTTAGGGCTTCGTGGGGGCCGTTTCGGAGCCTCTGGGGGCTTCTTTTGAGCCTCCCGTGGGGGCTCTTAGGGCCCTCTTGGGCCGTCTTCGGTGCCTCTTGGGCCGTCTTGGGACCGTCTGAGTCCCGCCTGGGCGCCTCTGGGGCTGTCTTGGGCCGTCTTGGGCCGCTCCTGGGGCCGTCTTGGGCGCCTGTTGGGCCGTCTTGGGCGCCTCCTGGGCCGTCCTGGGGCCGTCTCGGGCCGCTCTTGGGACCGGCATGGGGCCCGCTTGGCCCGTCTTGGGCTCTATTGGGGGCCTCTTCGGCCGTCTTGGAGCGGTCTTGGGGACCTCTTGGGCCGTCTTGGAGCGTCGGGAGGCCGAAAAGGCGAGAAGGCCGAAACCATCGGAAAACACAATGGAAATCTACGTTTTTTGCTGATCGGGGCCCTCTTGGGAGGCCTCTTGGGAGGCCTCTGGGGGCGTCTTGGAGGCCTGTGGAGCCGTCTTGGGCCAATCTCGGGCGTCTTGGGCCCATCTTGGGGCGTGCCAGGGCCCTCCGAGGCCGTCTTGGGGGATTTTTGGGGCCCTCTTGGCGTGTCTTGGGGGATTTTTGGGGCCCTCTTGACGTGTCTTGGGGCCTCCCTGGGCGGCCCGGGGCCAGCCCGGGGCGGTTTCGGTGCATTGGGGCCTGCGCCCTTCTGGCACGCACTGGGCCCTGCAATGTAGTAGAGACTAGGGCTGACCCGTGGACTCCGTCCACGATATCTTTCTGGAATGATTCTCGGAGGAACGGGCTCCTGGGGGGGGGCACCGGACGTGGCCATGTATGACAGCTGGGCCGTTTGAGCCCGCGAGGCTCTGGAAGGCGAAGGCTCCGAGGTGATGGCAAGATGCCTGGAGGAGAGCGTGGATTCGACGGGGCGCCCGAGCGGTGCGAATGGCCAAGATCGTTCAGAGTGGTGAGAACGGCGAATGCTGCCCAAGATGTCGGGGGTCCGAGCGGCGCGAATGGCCAAGACGGTCCAATATGGCTCTCGGGTCCATCTGGGGGCGTCCGCAGCCCTCTGGGGCCGTCTGGGGGGCCTCTTGGGGCCCTCTTGGCGCGTCTTGGGCCCATCTTGGGGCGTCCCGGGGCCCTCTGGGGCCGTCTTGGGCTGTCTTGGGGCGTCTTGGGACCGTCTGCGGGCCCTCTTGGCCCGTCTGGAGGCCCTCTTGCGGGCCTCGTCGGTGGTCTTGGAGCGGTCTTGGGGACCTCTTGGGCCGTCTTGGAGCGCAGGGACGGCGAAAAGGGGAGAATGCGAGAAACATCGAAAAACACAATGGAAGTCGACGATTTCTCCCGCTCGGGGCCCTGCTGGGAAGCCTCTTGGGAGGCCTCTTGGGGCATTTTGGCCGCCTCTGGGGCCGTCTTGGCCCAATCTTCGGCGTCTTGGGCCCATCTTGGGGCGTCCCGGAGCCCTCTGGGGCCGTCTTGGGGGCCTCTTGGGGCCCTCTTGGCGCGTCTTGGGCCTATCTTGGGGCGTCCCGGGGCCCTCTGGGGCCGTCTTGGGGGGCCGTCTTGGGCTGTCTTGGGGCGTCTTGGGACCGTCTGGGGGTCCTCTTGGCCCGTCTTGAGGCTCTCTTGCGGGCCTCGTCGGTGGTCTTGGAGCGGTCTTGGGGACCTCTTGGGCCGTCTTGGAGCGCAGGGACGGCGACAAGGGGAGAATGCGAAAAACATTGAAAAACACAATGGAAGTCGACGATTTCTCCCGCTCGGGGCCCTGCTGGGAAGCCTCTTGGGAGGCCTCTTGGGGCATTTTGGCCGCCTCTGGGGCCGTCTTGGCCCCAGTCTTGGGCTGTCTTGGGGCGTCTTGGGACCGTCTGGGGGCCCTCTTGGCCCGTCTGGAGGCCCTCTTGCGGGCCTCGTCGGTGGTCTTGGAGCGGTCTTGGGGACCTCTTGGGCCGTCTTGGAGCGCAGGGACGGCGAAAAGGGGAGAATGCGAGAAACATCGAAAAACACAATGGAAGTCGACGATTTCTCCCGCTCGGGGCCCTGCTGGGAAGCCTCTTGGGAGGCCTCTTGGGGCATTTTGGCCGCCTCTGGGGCCGTCTTGGCCCAATCTTCGGCGTCTTGGGCCCATCTTGGGGCGTCCCGGAGCCCTCTGGGGCCGTCTTGGGGGCCTCTTGGGGCCCTCTTGGCGCGTCTTGGGCCTATCTTGGGGCGTCCCGGGGCCCTCTGGGGCCGTCTTGGGGGGCCGTCTTGGGCTGTCTTGGGGCGTCTTGGGACCGTCTGGGGGTCCTCTTGGCCCGTCTTGAGGCTCTCTTGCGGGCCTCGTCGGTGGTCTTGGAGCGGTCTTGGGGACCTCTTGGGCCGTCTTGGAGCGCAGGGACGGCGAAAAGGGGAGAATGCGAAAAACATTGAAAAACACAATGGAAGTCGACGATTTCTCCCGCTCGGGGCCCTGCTGGGAAGCCTCTTGGGAGGCCTCTTGGGGCATTTTGGCCGCCTCTGGGGCCGTCTTGGCCCAATCTTCGGCGTCTTGGGCCCATCTTGGGGCGTCCCGGAGCCTTCTGGGGCCGTCTTGGGGGCCTCTTGAGGCCCTCTTGGCGCGTCTTGGGCCCTCTGGGGGCCCTCTTGGCGTGTCTTGGGCCTGCTACGCTTTTTGACCAGAATCGCCCTTATCGCACGCGCGGGTCCCTGCATTGTAGTATAGACTAGTGTTATGTTGATCCCATCGTACTTAAGGACCACATCCCAGAAATAATTTCGAGCACCCCGAAAGTGTCGAAACAGTGTGCCCCAGGGCTCGACAGGTGAAAATCTTGGAGTTTCGATGCTTCTCTGGTACTCGAAATTCTTTCTGGTGGTCAAGGCTAAAGTAGGCTGGATCATCATAAGACTAGTGTGTACCTGTGGTGTGATCACTGCTATCGACGCTGACGGGGGCAGTGCTTGCAGAGCGTGCCTGCGACACGGAAGGAAGCAGCTCTTCTGGGGCTCCAGGCAGAAGTCAGGCGAGCTCCTGGGAGGCGCCAGTGGGGCCCCAAGTGCACTCCAAGAGGGCCCAAAGAGAAGTGGCGCCACTCCACCTGCTTTGGGGCTCTCTCGGGATGCACTTCAAGCCGTCTTCGAAGCCTCCTTGTGGTCTCGTGTGGGGCTCGCTCCTGCCTACCCTGCGGCTTCAGGCGGGACTGATGCGGCCTCCGGGAGCGCTCAGAGAGCGCCCCAAGTGGTCCCGGAGAGAATCCATGAAGCAAGTGGCGTCACTCCACTTGCTTTCGGGCTCTCTTGGAATCCACTTGAAGCCGCTCTGAAAGCCCTTCTGGGGCCTCTTGGGGCCTGCTTGGGCCTACCCTGGGGCTTTAGGCTGATCTTAGGCGGCGCCTGGGAGCGCTCCCAGGGGGCCCCAAGTGGGCTCGGAGAGACTCCCAAAGCAAGTGAAGTGACGCCACTTGCTTCTGGGGTATCTTGGAGTCCTTTCGGAGCCTTCTGGGGGTCTCCCCTTGGGGGCCTCTGGAACCCGTTGGGCCTCTCTGGGACTTCTCTCGGGGCCCTCCAGGACCGTCTTGGGGCCGTCCGGGAACCGACTTGGAGCTTTCTTGGGCCGTATTGGGACGCTCTTGGGAGCCTCTGGAGCCGTTCTGGCACGATCTGGGAGGCCCCTGAGAGTGGCTTGGGCGACCGAAGGCGGAAGAGGTGAGAATACAAAAAAAACATACACAAATAACATAACATCAATGATTTCGGCCTCCGGCAGGAAGCGCTCCCTGGAAATCTCTTGGGGTGGTCCTGGCGCGTCATGGGTGCCTCTTGGGCTGTCTGGTGGCCATGTTCGGCAGTCTTGCGCCGTCTCCTCCTCCTCCTCCTCCTCCGAAGGCTACCGAGGCGGCTCCGAGGGCCCGCCCGGAGCGGCCCGGGCACCCCGAGGGGCCCCCACGGACCGGCCCAGAGGTGACCGCTTCAATGCCACCCCTCGCTCTTTTCGCGCGAGCTTTACGTCGGGCGTGTCCCCCTACACAGGGATTTTCAACGAAAAATAAAAAATACTCCAAAAATGTTCCAAAAAGGTCAACAAAATATCTAAAAAATAGTCCCCATATTATTTTTGTAATATTGTTTTGTTTGGGGTATTCTTTATTTTTCGTCGAAAATCCCCCTGTATGGGGGACAGGCCCGACCTGATATTGTACGATAGATGACGTCGGGAGCCAACTTCGTCACCCTCATCTCGCTGAGCAGCGCCAGAGCCCGCTGCCACTGCTCGCCTTTCTCGCACGCGCTGATCCCTGTGTTGTAGCTGACCAGGGCTGACCCGTGGATTACGTCCACTTGCGAGGGGAATGAGTGGCCGCCAGGCTCACTCGATAAGAAATTTGGACCCTGTTCGCTTTCCACATGTCGCCCAATCAAGAAGCTACTGTGGCGAAGGGGCATCGTGAGGCTAGCAGACGACGCCAACATGTATTTGACCTTCTCCAGAGCGCCCCACGCCGACAGCGCGGCAGGAGGTATGCAACGCAAGAGAATCGTGTGAAATGTTGTCCGCGGCCAGGGCTCGGGCTCTGGAGCAGTCTTACTGAACGGCCTGCAGACCAAAATTTGATACGCCACCCTTGCGTTGAATACCTTCTCCGGTGCAGTCAAGCACACGGGCTGAAAAACATTCCGCCTCCTGGGATCCGTGTGGCGCCGGCATCACACTGCATGCCTTTTACTAGCGGCATGCCTTGTACAAGCGGCCCCGGGGCGAAAACGGCCCACGGAATAGCAAGGGGTACTCCAAATCCCATATTTATCGTCCCCTGGGTCCAGTTTTTCAAGGCGCCTTTTTTGTAACTGGGGGGTTCCGGTTTATTAGGGCGCTTTCTTCGGATTGGAGCTTAGGGGGTCCGGTTTATTAAGTCGCCCCGTCGAAGAGGGGGTTCAGAATGTTGGGTCACATTTGGGGGGGTCAAGTTTTTTAGGGGGGTCGATTAATGAGGGATTTGGGGCAGAACAAGTCCTGCGAGAGCCACCCTGGACAAGCACGTCGGATAGATCAGACCGTGGCGCAAGATAGGTCAGACGAGCACCGGGGCTCCCGGCGGCCGGAGGTGATCTTAGGTCGGGCGTGTCCCCCTACAGGCGGATTTTGGACAAAACATCAAGAATACTCAAAACAAATGTTCAAAAATGATCAAAAACACTCGAAACATCGTCCCCAGACTATCTTTGGAGAGGGACAGACCCGGCTTAAAAGTAGTCGTCATCGTCGTCGTTCTTGCGTCGCCGGCGTCGTTGGTGCTGCTTCGAGAACTTCCGACTTCCGACCAAAACTCGCGGGGGGAGCCTCGAGCTGGTGGCGCCGCTGGCCGTGCATGAGAGAGCAGGGTCCCAGGGCCCGACACGCGAAAATCCTCCGGTTGCGGTGCTCTCCTGGTGCTCGAAATTCCCTGTGGTGCACAAAAAGCGGAATTAGGTTGGAGACAGGAAGACAGAAAAGTGGACGGCGGAGAGGGGCAGGACATCGCAAAGCGTGCAGGGTTGAGCAGGGACCGACCGTCCCGGTAGTCCTACCACAAAATGTTCTTGGAACCCCAAAAGGTTCTAAGAACAACAACAATGCTCTTAGAACATTCGCCCGATGTGTTAAAACAGGACAGTCCCAACCAGAAAAGCTCTAGGAACATTTCGTGGGAACCACACGAGGTTCTTAGAACATTGCTTGGTAGGGCTATAGAAACGCCAGGACGCTTCGCCACTGCTTGACAGGGGCGATGTCCGCGCCAGTCCACCGGCCTGCCTCGCGGCACGGGGCGGGCGGGGACACGCCGAGCGAGCCCGCGGGCAGACGACGTGCCTACGGGCCCGCGCTCGACGGAGGAGGAGCAGGAGGAGGAGCAGGAGGAGGAGGAGGAGGAGGAGGAGGAGGAGAAGGAGGAGAAGGAGGAGGAGGAGGACGAGGAGGAGGGGGAGGAGGAAGGGCAGGAGGAGGGAGGAGGAGGAGGAGGTAAGCAGGAGGAGGAGGAGGAGGAGGAGGAGGAGGAGGAGGAGGAGGAGGGGGAGGAGAAGGAGGAGGACAACGAGGAGGAGGAGGAGGACAAGGGGTCCCGGGAGAAGAATCGACGGCGCAAGCGCGGTGTGAGATCTTGTCCGTAGCTGGGGCCCGGCGGTCCGGAGTGTTCTTCCCGCGCGGCCCGCGGACAAAATTTGACACACCGCCCTTGCGTTCACTAGTTCTTCTCCAGTGTTGGGTGGCCATCCGTGGGAGGCCGACGAGAGCGAGAGCGAGCAAATGGCCAGGGAGGGCGGTTGAAGGGACGTTGGCAGGAGAACGGAAGTGGAACCAACAGGGAACCAAATCGGCAAAAAGGTTGAGAGCTTCGTTCCGAAGAAGCTCCCATGCATGGCTACCTGACCAGTGCTGTCGGGCACACTGTTGGTTGAAAAGCAATTCCCAAAACCTCCTGGGATTTGTGTGGCGCCAAGATCGCACTGGACTCGGGGATCTGCTAACCCGGGTCAATCCAGACCCGGGTCAGCCAGGCCTTGCAAGATCCTGCAAGATCCGGCAGCCAAACCCGGGTCAACGCGAAGCATCCTGCAGGATCCTGAAAGATCCTGCCTGGGTCAGTGCGACCCTGGCACTGCAAGATCCAGCAGGATCGGGCGCTCTGGCTGACCCCCGTTTGCATCGACCCCCGTCTCAAGGCTCCCGAAGAGATGAGGAGGAGGAGGAGGAGGAGGAGGAGGAGGAGGAGGAGGAGGAGGAGGAGGAGGAGGAGGAGGAGGAGGAGGAGGAGGAGGAGGAGGAGGGAGGGGGGGGGGGAGGAGGAGGAGGAGGAGGAGGAGAGGAGGAGGAGGAGGAGGAGGGAGGAGGAGGAGGAGGAGGAGGAGGAGGAGGAGGAGGAGGAGGAGGAGGAGGAGGGAGGAGGAGGAGGAGGAGGAGGAGGAGGAGGAGGAGGAGGAGGACCCCTGTCTCAGGGCTCCCGACGGATGCCTTTGCTGGCTTCACCGGGGGGCGAGCACGGCCGCCGGAATAGCAGGGGAGACAAACGGGCCCTGCGAAAGCCATCCCAGACGAGCACGCAGGAACGTAGGATAGAGCAGAAGGGCTCTGGGGCACAGGATGGATCAGACGAGCTTCAGGACGCCCCGCGGCCAGAGGTACTAGGGGAAACCAACAGGTAGCGATACCGCTACTCCCCGGACCTCTCCCGGGGTGCGTTCTGACTAGAATTTCGAGGCGATTCCAGCGGTGGCGACGAGAGCCTCCCAGGAGGCCCCAAAAAAGGAAAAAGGGCGAAGGGTAGAGGTATGGGAACCTTTTGCTCCTCCGAGTATTCGTCATCGTCGTCTTTCGTCTGTCGCCTGCGTCGTCGACGATGTCTCGACAGAAGCGCCTGCTCAGGCTCCCGGGCACCAAGGACAGCACCCAGGATGAAGGGGTCCGCGGGGGCAGCCTCAGTGGATTGCGCTGCTGGCCGTGAGAGAGCAGGGAAGAGGTAAGGTTGGAGGCCTGGAAATTGGCACCAACACCAACACACGGGGGTGCCTCCACGGGGGGAAAGTGATCCTAGATTGCGGTGATGGTGGTATTGTTTCGGCCACCTTGGAAGCCAGAACATTGCCACCATCACCGAGACCGGGATCCTCTTCCCTCGGTGGAGGCACGCCGCCGATATTGGCGCTGGTGTCGACCTCCAGGCCTACGATAAAGAGGGGAAAGGAAGAGAGGAGCGTAGAGGGAGGAGGAGGAGGAGAAGGAGGAGGAGGAGGAGGAGGAGGAGGAGGAGGAGGAGGAGGAGCAGGAGGAGCGAGGGAGGATGTCGCAGAGCGTGCGGATGCGGACGCAGCGCCAGTCCACGGGCCTGCCCTGCGCAACGGCGCGGGCGGGGAAAGGGCTGGACGAGCCGGCGCAGAGGGCTCGGCTGCGGGCCCACGCCCCGCAGCACCAACAAAAAGAAGCTCGACGTAGGTCGGGTGTGTCCCCCTATAGGCGGCTTTTCACGCCAAAATGAAAAAACCAAAAGTTGGCACGGGGCGGTTGCGTTCAAAACGGACTCGCGGATGGTGATGATGATGATGATGATGATGATGATTATGATGATGATGATGATGGTGATGGTGATGGTGATGGTGATGGTGATGATGGTGATGATGATGGTGATGATGGTGATGATGGTGGTGATTGCGATGGTGATGATGATGATGATGCTGATGATGAGGCGGATCTTAGACGAAAAATTAGAAATAGACAAGACTATGCAAGCGCAGTCAAACAAATCATCCAAAAATCGTCCTCTGAGTATTGGTTTTAACGGTTTTTGAATATGCCTCCTGTCGAGGGACAGGCCCGACTCGAGACTTGACGCAAGGGCGCCGTGTTTTGGCCGTGTCCGCGGCCGGGGCCCAGGCGCCGGAGCGGATCGCTCGCCCCCGCGCCGGCTGAGGACAAGAGTTGGCACGGGGCGGTTGCGTTCAACACGGACTCGTGGATGATGATGGTGGTGATGATGATGATGGTGATGATGATGACGATGATGGTGATGATGGTGATGAAGATGGTGATGATGATGATGATGATGATGATGATGATGATGATGATGATGATGATGATGATGATGATGATGATGATGATGTCGGTGATGGTGATGGTGATGGTGATGATGATGATGCTGCTGCTGCTGATGCTGATGCTGTAAATGATGATGCGTATGGTGATGATGCCGATGATGGTGAGGATGGTCATGATTTCTAATGATGTTGATGATGGTGCTGCTGATGATGGTGATTATGGTGATGTTGATGAGGATGCTGATGATGTTGATGATGGTGCTGATGTTGATGATGATGCTGATGATGGTGATGATGATGACAAGAATGATGATGCTGATGATGGTGACGATGGTGATGATGATGCTGATGATGAGGATGGTGACGATGGTGATAATGCTGCTGATGATGAGGATTAGGTTGAGGAGGACGCCCAGAGGCTCCAAGAGAGCCAGCCGAGCGCGAGCCGGATTCTGCTCTGCTCAGCTGCTGGGGGCTGGAGGCGCCAGGCCCAAGGGGGTGGTGCAACAAATTTGGTGCAATAGATTCGTGGGGTTGCAATACATTTGGGACGTGCAATACTTTCCGGGGCGCAAATGTGTTGCTGGATTTTCGCGTGCCATACACGACTTGCAACACAATGCAATCCAAGTCTCTGGCGCAATACATTTGCAACACAAGTGCCCCAAACC